TTACGATCATTTACGAGCAAGCGAACAGGCTTAAGTCTAATTAAATTTAGATTTGTTAGTGCCGGACGTCCGATCTGAACACTAGCGTCCGGATGCTACCTACATATGGAGCAAATGAGCGCCAAGCGTGTCAGGCTCGCGAGGGAGCGCACCAGTAATGGTCCCACGCCGCCTCGAACATCGCCCACGCCGCCCCAGACGTCGTCCGCGCCACCGGCCGCTTTCCACGCGCATTCTATGTGCAACACCCAATCTACTTTTAAAACACATCCAGATACAACGGTTGCAACATACAAAAGAAGACAGATGAAACACTTGAAACAAGTGTCTGAAATACTTGCGAAAACGTCTGAAAAATATTTGAAAACCATTGCAAATATATGCAACATTCAGATAAAACACTTGCAAGTATACGTATGAAACACCTAAAAATACTTAAAACATATGCTTGCAACATACAAAACACTTTACAACATTCATCTAGAATAGATGAAACATTTTAAACATACATATGAAACATATATGGATAGCCAATACAACACGTGCATCGTCCCGATCTACTTATGAAACATCGATATACAACACTTCTGCTTGCTTCTCGGATGAATGGAGGCTTGTTGACGTAGAGCTCGACGCCGGTACGAAGCTCGAAGCCGCGGAGGTCGCCGGTGTGAAGCTCATCGGCAGCATAGACCTTGACAGGGACATGGACAAGCAGACGGAGCACGACCGCGACAGGATGTGCGAGCCGGAAGCGAGCTAGCTAGCGAGAGCCTATCACATTGGGCACACCGTGCGGGGCATGGACTGGCGCGCGCGGACGAGGACGGGTCCGTCGCGCGAGTAGAGCAAGCGGTGGCGGGGGCGGCGTGCGGACGTTTCCTTCCAAAAAATACCCTTTGGTTTCATCCGTCGTCCGTGCCAAAAATACCCTTCGGTTTTTGTTCGTCGTCGTCGTCTCGTCTCCTCCAGCATCCTGCTTTTGTGGTAGAGAAACGACTTTTGATCCACTTTAAAATTTGGCTTTAGTTCCGGTATTTTTCGCACCCGGGATTAGAGAAACCTTTAGTCCCGGTTGGTAGCTCCAACCGAGACTAAAGGTCCCTGCCCAACGGCTACTGCGGTAGGCTTTTGCTGCAGGAGACCTTTAGTCTCGGTTGGAGCTACCAATCAGAACTAAAGGTTAACTTTTACTCCCGGTTGATCCCTCCAACCGGGAGTAAAAGTCTACTCCCGGCCAGTAGTTCGTTTATCTTAATTAAACCCAAACCATTGATAGCAGCATCACTACAACAGTACAGCGCGTCGCCCAGTTGCATTTGGGTCTCGGGGAATCTCACTCGCTGTACAAGTTGCATTTTCAATGCGTACGTACCCTCTGTCGTGACAGGCCAGCTCTAGTATATCTCAATCTCTTCTCACCGGACAACACATTGCGTAACGTTTTATAAGCAATTGAAGATCACTGCTTCTGAACGTACCAATATATGATACGGACCAGAACCAGCCATGGCAGGAGGATACTACTGTTGCTTCTGAACAACACCACAGAGGCTAGAGTCCAGATGCCAGACCCACCCACCAGCAATCCAGCATCATCTGTCAGTCACCAGACGCATCTAGTGGGCCACAGAAGGTAAGAAAGCGGCCCATGATTTCCAAGCGAATGAATGTGGCCAGCCTATTACTGTACCGAGTCTGAGCCAAATGGTAAGGTGAGGAGTCGTTCGTTGCGCTGCTTGCTACTGCTGCTGCTGCGAGGAGATAGCACCACATCGGTAGCGTAAAGAGGACGCGGAGCACAGACTGGCTACATAACAAGGGCCAGGTGCACCGGTTCAAGGCGCACAGCTGCGTGGTGAGCACAAAGCGAATTATTCTTCCGCCTTTTACTAAAGAATACTGTGTGCACGCCACAATAAGCAGCATACACTAAATTTTGGAGGGTGCCATCTTTATAAGGAGGTGCCCGACAAATTAAATTCAAAACAAAATATTTATATTATTAAATTAATAAATATGTTTAGTAAATTTAAAATTCTCTTTAAATATGTTAATAAATTCAAAATTTTGTATTAAATATTATTAGCAGCGTAGAATGTGTATTCAAAAATCAAAACAAATCAAGGGTGCCATCTTTATAAGGAGGTGCCCGACAAATTAAATTCAAAACAAAATATTTATATTATTAAATTAATAATTATGTTTAGTAAATTTAAAATTCTCTTTAAATATGTTAATAAATTTAAAATTTTGCATTAAATATTATTAGCAGCGTAGAATGTGTATTCAAAAATCAAAACAAATCATCAAATGAAAATAGAAAGAAAAAAAAGAGGGCGGCCCACGTGGCCAGGCCGGGAGACCTCTTTAGCTCCGGTTGGTATTACCAACTGGGACTAAAGGTGGACCTTTTGTTCCGGACCAGAAACCAGGACTAAAGCCTTTAGTCCCAAATTCATGCTCCCAGTTGAAAAACCGGGACTGAAGGGGTTTCTCAGTCCCGGATTCGTGCTCCCGGTTGAGAAACCGGGATTGAAGGGGTTTCTCAACCGAGAGTACATCTTGTTTCTGTACTAGTGGTGCGTAGCATACGTGAGCGCCGTCCGAGCGTTTCCCGTGTCCGAGAGCGTTTTTGTCTGAGTGTTTCCATTTTTTTCCGTATCTTTCGATTCATAACTCTTCTCTATAAAATAAAGATTTTGACACCACCAAATTTGTTGATGCAATTTTGATTAAGAATAAAATTTACTTCATTAAAATATGGTTTAACTGATTGTCTAACTAATCAAACTGTAAACTAAAATATTAAACAGTTTGTTATCTAGTCCAATCTAAATTAATTTATGTTTTGATTATATGCATGCAGCACTACAATTTTGGCAAGTGCCACTATTTAGAAAATAGAGAGGTGTCTTGTTGTAACATTAGCGAACAAACTAGTACTTTACATTTTGACAACTCACTCCTTATCGACTTGAATCAAAGGTTTAGAATTAGAGATTTTCATGGGTACTTAAAAGAAGCACGAAACTTGATTACTATAACAACGTATGGATAGTGTAGAAATTAAGGTTATGATATATTTACAAGTAAATGTTTTTCCTGATTCGCACCGGAGAAAAAATCATTCAAGTTGTATTTTTTATACAAAGTCTTACTATAATTTGATACAAATTTAATAGACATTGTCATATTATTAGTTTGGAGTTGTCAATAGATGCTAATGTTCTTGTGTATCTTAACTCAATATCCAACCACCTATTAGCGGGTGGATCGAAATGGCCTCCTACAAAAAAAAATTAGCTAGTTAAATTTTAGTGTTAATGGATCCAAACATGTTCTTAAACTGGACTAGACAATAAAAAAAACTTACTACTAGTTAAGATGGCATACGGATACCTAGTGATTTTAAGAATCTTGATTGAAAAGATCTCAAAATTCTAAAATTCCATCCAAACATCCTAGATTTTAGAAGACTCTAACACATGCACACACAATAAAAAAAAACATCAGAACTTATTTTTATGCAAGATCCAAATTTTTGAATCCCATCAAGCATGTGCTAAACTTGTTGTAAAAAACATGTGCTAAACTTAAAAGATTTTTGAACGGAGACGGAGTGAGTTTACTGATGACTAGAGATAAAAATAGTATGGAAATATCATGTACCAAACTAAATCGTTTTCAATATTTGGCCTGATTGAATTCGTATTTTCTGACATATTCGAATTCGGTTCGAAATACGGAACACTAAATTCGAAATCGGAATGAAAACTATTTAGACGTTTTCCGACCATTTTCTACTTTTAATTCGAAATATCCCAAATTCAAAATCCAGTTTAAACTGAATTTGGCCTACTAGAAGTCTAGCTTTAGAAAAATTGTATCTTTTTCATACGATCTTGGATGAAGATGATTTTTATATGAAACTTGTAGCACTCGACCAGATCTATAACTTTCTAGTTTTTAGTTTTTTTCATTTTAGATCGTTACGATGTTTAAAAAAATTAAATAAAGTTTCAGCAGTATATTAATCGTGTATAAACGCTCGTTGTCTTAGAAAAATCATATATTTTCTTATATAGTGTCAAATGGAGATAATTTTTATGAAGGTTATATGACTTGTTAATTGTTATGTACTTGTTAATTATTATGCATTGGTCCTATAAGTCAATATATCGTATTGATTTTTTATATACCGATCGTGTTCGATATAATTCCGCTCGAATTAGTTCATCTTCAAAATTCTTGATATATCGTAAATTCGTGTTTATTTTTGTATTCGGCTTTACTCCTTTAGCTTTTAATTTCGTATTTAAATATATAAGTAGAAAAAGGTCGAGGGTTTTTTCCGACCGTATCCTGTTGATGACAGCATGCCAAGGGCAATGGCAGAGCGATTCCAGAGAGTTCCGCAACTGCCAACCGGTCCCCAGCGACCAGCAAAGCCGCTATCCATTCCTGTCCCTTTCGTTGGTCGCCTCATCCACGGACCACGCTTTACTCACTCACTGACAACTGGGCCATATATAAATGTGGCCCCAGATGTCACTGTCCAGCGGCAAGCGCGCGACGGCCCTATCTCAAGAACTCTCTAGAACACCACGCTCCGAGAGACCGGAAACACATGCTCTCAAGTTTTCACTCGCACTCTCCCACGCTATAATTCCAAAGCGCCGCCGGCGCATCGATGTTGGGCCTTGTATAGATGGGGCTTAGAAATTAGTATCGGACATCGTAGTACTTTACTAATTATGATTTAATTAGATTTTAAAGATTCATTTCGTAATTTATAATTAAATTATATAATTAATTATTTTTTTATTTATATTTAATACTATATGTACGTATCAAAAATTTAATATAATAAAAAGAGATCTGAACAAGGCCTCGCTAGTCGAAACTCGAAAGGCGCACGCACGCGGTCCACGCCCCCGCCCGGCTCGAGAAGCCACTCGCACTCCTCCTCCTTCTAGAAGCTTCCATTTCCGGAGGCCATGGAAGACGACTACGACTTCCCGGCGGCCGGCGGGTACGACTCCATGGGAATGATGGGAATGGGGATGGGGGGCCTCGGCCTCGGCGGAGCGATGGGGATGGGGATGGGGGGCTACGGCCTCGGAGGTCCCATGGGGATGGGGGGCTACGGCCTAGGCGGCGAGGACGACGACGAGGCCATGAAGGACCTCCAGGCCGGCGCCGGAGCAGGGGCAGGGGCAGGGGACGATCCTCCCGCGGAGTTGAAGGTTGGGGAGGAGAGGGAGATCGGGAAGGAGGGGCTGAAGAAGAAGCTGGTGAAGGAGGGCGAGGGATGGGACCGCCCCAGCGACGGCGACGAGGTCGAAGGTGAGATAATACTGAGATTCGCCTCTCCGGAGTGCGTTCCGATTCTGAATTTCTGGTGAGACGAGACGCGACCGTGGGTTAGATTGGGAAACGCTTGCTCACTGGATTGATTTTGGCGGCGCAGTTCACTACACGGGGACGTTGATGGACGGCACCAAGTTCGACTCCAGCAGGGATCGCGACTCCCCGTTCAAGTTCACGCTGGGCCAAGGTATCATCACGCTGCTCTGGCATTACACATTTACACTACCTCGTTTGGAACTAGGATCAATTCTAAATCATGTAGATTTGATATTAGAATCCTGCTAAAGTTGTGAAATTTGTTTTTCTTTCTAGAATTGGTCAAGTACATTACTAATCGCTGATGTATAGTATATTACAATTAGCATTCAGTACAATTAGCAAAATATAAATGTAGGGAGGTTTAGTAGCAGCAGGTTATGCTTTCCTTTGTTGCTGCAGTTATTCATCAAATGTTGTTTCCTTGTGTGATTGACCAAATTTTTATGACATTGCTGGACTATTACAGAATGACACATAGCAGTGGATGAGCCATTAGGTGATCTGAGATATTAAATGGTAGTTACAAAATTTAGTTCCTGACTTCCTGCACTAGACGTCTAATTGATCCGTACCCCAAGATCCTGATTTTAAGTCAAAATTAACTATTCCTCATGGGAGTAGAAGAACAAGTACTTTGTTTCAGGTTTTGTTTGCACATTGAAATTGAAAGTGACTGGAGGTTTTGTGCTGTAGGTTCTGTCAATTATACTGCACACAGAGCATTCTGGTTAGTGTGTATTGTTTTGATCCTACTAGTTTACTACTACGAAGTTGTATAGTACATGAGTATTCTCCTTATGTAGTATAATTAAACTTAACTTGCTTAAAGTATGCACTATGGTGAAATGGTGCATGTTTCTAAAGTAAACAATATTGTTACTCCCTATAGGACAAGTTATAAAGGGATGGGATTTGGGCATCAAGACCATGAAGAAAGGCGAAAATGCTGTTTTCACAATCCCATCAGAGCTTGCATATGGTGAAGATGGCTCACCACCAGTCATCCCTCCAAATGCCACGCTGCAGTTTGACGTTGAACTTCTGTCATGGGTGTGTATCAAGGACATTTGCAAGGATGGAGGCATCTTGAAAAAGGTACTAGCCGAAGGCGATAAGTGGGAGAACCCCAGAGATCCTGATGACGTTTTTGGTACTGTACCATGATCTACTCTGTTGTTCGATTCCACGTTGCCTTTTCAGTGACCAACATTTTTAAAGGTTTATTTGGATATTTTCAACAGTTAAGTATGAAGCAAGGCTTGAGGATGGAACAGTTGTATCGAAATCTGATGGTGTTGAGTTCACTGTGAGAGATGGTATGTTGGCCGTTTTTTAGTAATTGTACTGTAGTTCTAGCTTTTAAAAGTCAGTTTCTTATGCAAGAATGTTGTGTTTCTTCCAGGTGTATTTTGCCCTGCCATATCAAAGGCTGTCAAGACTATGAAGAAAAATGAGAAGGCCCACCTCACTGTCATGCCACAATGTGAGTTAGCAGTATGTTAATAATGGACCCGGTACAATGTGTGAGTAGATGCATATCTAACATGTGTCGTGTATGATGAACAGATGGCTTTGGTGTGAAAGGTAGACCGGCCTCTGGAGAAGAAGCTTCTGTGCCTCCTAATGCGACATTGCACATTGATCTTGAAGTGGTGTCCTGGAGGACAGTCACTGAGTTAGGCAATGACAAAAAGATCCTTAAGAAGATCCTTAAAGAGGGTGAAGGCTATGAACGTCCCAATGATTGTGCAATTGTCCGAGGTACATGATAACCTATGATGAATTGTTCCTTTCACATAATCTCATAACTGAATTTGTGGTAATGTTCCCTTCTTTTTTATTTCTGGTACAAATTATAATGTTTTTGCTTTCCAGTGAAACTTATTGGGAAGTTGGAGGATGGTACCTTATTTGTCAAGAAAGGTCATGATGGTGAGGAGCCATTTGAGTTCAAGACTGATGAGGATCAAGTGATTGAAGGGCTTGACAAAGCAGTACTCAGCATGAAGAAAGGAGAAGTAGCCTTGGTCACTATTCCTCCTCATCATGCCTTTGGAACTAATGAAACAAATCAAGATCTGGCTATAGTTCCACCTAACTCATCTGTTTACTACGAAATGGAGCTTGTCTCATTTGATAAGGTAAATGTGCAATGCCATACCTTGTATGGTGTATTGATCGGTGATAAAATTAAGATCCTACCTGCCGTTTCATGCAGGAGAAAGATTCATGGGACTTGAAGAACGTTGCTGAGAAGATTGAAGCAGCTGCTAAGAAGAAAGAAGAAGGGAATGTGTGGTTTAAAGTTGGCAAGTATGCCAGGGCTTCTAAGAGATATGAAAAGGTCAAAAATTTCAGCGCTGGGCTTCAAAGAACCTTTTGCACCTTCTTTGCATTATGCTAAAAATGGTATTTAAGATTGTTTTGCTCTTTATCAGGCTTTGAGCTTTGTCGAGTACGATAGCTCCTTCAGTGAAGAAGAGAAGCAGCTATCAAAACCACTTAAGATAAGCTGCAAGCTCAACAATGCTGCATGTAAACTAAGACTTAATGATTACAAGGAAGCAAAGGAACTGTGTACCGAGGTACTATATACAGAATAAACTGAAATATCTTGGGAATTATATACTTATAGTAAGAAAAAAACTGTGCTTACAATAAGTATGGGTATTTAGGTCCTGGAATCTGACAGCACAAATGTGAAGGCCTTGTACAGAAGGGCACAGGCACACATTCATCTTGTTGATCTTGATTTGGCAGAGGCAGATATCAAGAAAGCTCTAGAAATAGATCCTGACAACAGGTAATACTTTGTGGGTACTGTTTACTTGATTAAATTACAGACCCCGGACATGCTAATCATATCATATATAGTACTGAAGTTGGCTTAATGAAAATCTTTTGAGAATAACTTGCCAGCTAATTCTGTTACATATCATAGTTTCAATGCAATCAGGGAAATCAACAGTTGATGGCATCAAACACGCATGCACAACTCAGTCCTTCGCATTATGTTTTTATGCAGAAACTTTAACCTGCATGGCTGCATGTTGATACAAGTAAGATATAACTCATCTCCTTATCAGGGATGTGAAGATGGGGTACAGGAGGCTAAAGGAGAAGGTCAAGGAGTACAAAAGAAGGGATGCCAAATTGTATGGCAACATGATTTCCAAGCTGAGCATGCTTGAAGACACGGAAGACAATGTAAGTTCCCTCCTCAACCCTCGCCCCACCTTGCCCTGCGATACCTTGATGACCGTTGGTCTAACTGTAAATTTGCTGTTGTTGCTGCTTCAAGGACCAAATGAGTCAGGCACTAAACAAGAAGCGTGGGCTCTTATGGCCACTGACAGAAATGCTTAGGGGATTCTTCACTACCGATGGTAGCAAGGGGTCCACGCTGTGGCTTGTGCTGAGGCTATTGATTCCGGTAATACTATTGGTTGCAGTATGTGTGGGTTACTACATGCACAGCAGTGTTCATGAAATAGACTGCATTAACTGTTAGTTGAGCAAGGTATCTGTGCTCACCTTCTCTGCTTTTCACGGACAAGTGTTTATCGAAGTATAGATATGAGTATTATACGTATTTGTTTGCTGTGTGGGTTGAGGACTTGAGGGTGAAGTCTTGACTACTTGTACTGTATACTGTTCAACTTGACTTGTCTAATAGTTACTTCCTCTGTCTCAAAAAGAATGATAATCTCGTTTTTCAGTAGTCAAGTTCATCAATCTTGAGTTTTACCGGATTTATAGAAAATATTATTAATGTATCTATTATAAATAAGTTTACCATTAAAATTTATTATACTATTAATCTAATAACACTTATTATTTGTCAAACTTGAGATTATAAAGCATAGGAGAAAAGGCCCCAATGATTGGTAGTTCCATCAGTCATTCAAACAAGGCTAGTACACGTTGCATCATCGTATTTCTGGGGTGGGTGCACTTGACTTTTTCGGTGCACTTGACTTAGTAGTTTGCCCAACGGCTAGTTCAGCCCTTTGGTATATACCCCCTTGGCCGGCCCATTTTAAGGTTTTATAGTGTGCTCTAACCACATGTGCTTAAGAGAACATTTAGTGATTAGTGTCGGTGCTTTGTGAAGTGTTTAGGTTAGTTAGATCACCGCTTATGCGCTTGCTGTTGTATTAGGTCTAGTGTTTAATGAGATTTGCATATTGTCGATGTTTTGAGAACTGACAAGTAAATTTAGCGTCACGCTGCTCAAGGGAGTTGATGGCTAGCACTCGAGGAACAAGGAATTATATTAGTTCGAGACGAAGCCGTACGGCCAGTGCCGGAGACTACGAGTACGTGTTCCTCAAGTTCAAGTGCTCCAAACGACTTACAACAGGGGGTATGCAAGCTAGGGTTTTACGGCTAGAAAGCTAGAGGCAGGGGAAATCGATCCTATGGAAGAAGGCCCAACTCCCCTTATATAGCCGTGGGGGCCGAGTTACATGTAGAGAAGAGGGGTTCTTCCGACCCGAGTGGCTGAGTGCCCAAGGGGCGGGAGAAGCTATTTGCTTGGTCAATACTTCATCTTGTCTTGTCCTTGCTTTTGTATGCACGTCCCGGTATGGTCGTCGAGGTCTTGCTCCTCACACCAAGAAAGCATGGCGTGCCATGGCGGCACTATGGGAATGGTGGTTGTTCACCAACTCCCCTACATGGCATGGGCTCGTCGTGGTCATCGTGGCCTCTGTCCTGACGCCCATTTCTTTGGGGAGAAGTTGTGACGCTGCAATACAGGGGAGTGGCCATCCATCGTGGGCTACCTGCTCCCTTGGTCACGGCCTTGTTCCCCTGACATCTCATGGCCCTGGTTGGGGCATTGGATGCGGCCACTTTGAGAGGAGTTGGCTCCTAATCATGATTCTCATACTGTAGTGGGTGTGATTGTACGCCCGTCCATCAGGTTGGACGGGATTTGGGCCATGTAGGGTGACGTAGCTGAGTCCTGGTATTTTGTCTTGTCTGTCAACAGAGTGCTGCTGTAGGGTTGAGATGGTGGACTAGAGAGGGGTGAATAGCCCTTTCTAAATTTAATTGCGTTAGCTAACCGAAACAAATGCGGAATTAAAACTATCGGTCTTAGCCAAGACTACACCCCTCTAAGTTCACAAGCACCTTATAAAGATCCTAATTAGGCAACAAAGATGCCAGGCTAGCTAGAGCTCATCTAACCAATTCTAAGAGCAAGGTCACACAAACCTATACTGCTAGTACATGGAGGAGCTCCTACACAATTAGTATACAAAAGCACAAAGCCGAAGCTCACTAGCAATGCTTAATAACAAGGCAACTAATGCTAAATTAGAGAGCGTAAATTACTTACCTACACAAACTAAGCAATGCAACTAATTTACTACAAAAGTAAACTAGTTACACAAGGGAGCTACTTCTATGCTACACAAGCAATAAGGTAACTAGCAACCTACACAAGCTAACTAATTACTAGAGCAACTACACAAGCACAATGTAAGTGAAAGTAAATACAAGTTTGTGTAACGAGGATGCAAACCAACGGGAAGATAAAGATGACACGGTGATTTTTATCCCGAGGTTCACGTGCTGCCAACATGTTAGTCCCCGTTGAAACAGGCTCCAATGTTGCCGCCAGTCCTCTTGCTAGTGGTGACCCACAAGTCACACTCTCCCACGTGGAGTGCTTACCACAAGCTCTAGCACTTGATCCCGCCGGACCACTTATCATCCTTTGCGTCTCGCTCTACTAGAGTTGCTCTTCGCGGCTTCTGTGGGGTGAGCACAATTCCTCTCACAATCACTTATTCGGAACACCGCATAATCTTCTTTGTGTGCTTCGACGGAGACCACCACCAAGCCGTCTAGGAGGTGGCAACCTCCAAGAGTAACAAGCACCGTCGGTTTACAACTCGAACACCTAGTGCCACTTGATGCAATCGCACTAGAATCGTGCTCACACTCAATCGGATGATCACTATCAAGCATATGTAAGTTAGAGGGCTCCCAAGCACACCTATACAAGCCACCAAGGCTCAAGGTTGCTCAGCAACCAGCCTATGGCCAGCTAGTGCTTGGTTTTATAGCCCCAAGCAAATAGAGCCGTTGCTCTAAAGATTCCCTTTTCTGCGAGGGCACCGGACACGGCAGTGCCCTCCCAACGGTCAAATTTCAATGGCTAGAAACGATCACCGACAGGGTTGGCGGTGCCCACGGTGGTGCCTAACTCTAGTTCCCCTGCCCTCTGGATAAAAGAGGCGGTGGCACCGTCCTACCGGTGGCGGTGACCAGGCGGTGCACCGCCCTCACCGAGGCAGTGTACAACGGACACGACGGTGCCTGCCCTCTCTCTGGTGCTCTGGACCGAGGCCAAGTGGGCACTGCCCTAGGAGTGGTGGTGCCACCAGATAGGGTGGCGGTGCCCGCCCAACTTCTCTTCCTTAGCCTCACCCAGCTGGTCACCGCCACAGGTGTGGCGGTGCACCGGACAAGGGGTGGCAGTGCCCCCATGGCAGCACCTCGAACTCAGTTTTGCCTCCTTTTCTTCTCCTTTTTCACCACCTTTGCAAATGTGCTAACACTACCAAGTGTTCACCACCTTGTGCACGTGTGTTAGCTTTTCACAAATATTTTCCCAAAGAATTAGTCACCCAATTCACAACGCCACACGATCCTAGCAACGATGCAAAGTTAGATCACTCGGTGGCACTAGATGACCAATATGCAAACAAGTTTGCTCCTCTTGATAGTATGACCATCTATTCATAAATCCGGTCATAAACTTGTCTATACACCTATGACCGGTGAAATGAAATGCCCTACAAATATACCTTTGCCTTGCGCATTCCATTTCATCTCCTCCATTGTTGATGCAACACATGCACCAACCATATCATAAATCATATGATCCACTTCATATCATCATGTGACCGTATTGGTTCATCGATCTTGACTTCACTTGCTCTTCACCGCTGCCATCGTCCATCGGTGCCAAGTTTTGCTCAAGCTTCACCGCCACACGGTCCATCGCGCCGAAGCCTCCAACTTGATATCATCATATGACCGTATTAGTTCATCGATCTTGACTTCACTTGCTCTTCACCGTTGCCATCATCCATCGGTGCCAAGTTTTGCTCAAGCTTCACCGCCACGCGGTCCATCGCTCCGAAGCCTCCAACTTGCCCTTCATGTTTGCAACCGGTCCATCAAGCTAAGTCTTGTCTTGATCTTCTCCACCTTAGTCACATGACTCCATATCATGTCTCATTTGCAATGAGCTCCTTCATCATATGTGTGAGCCTTGCAACAATCCAAGCCATCTTCACCGTCATGGCATGAGTTGCTCACACAAGGGTACCTATAGACTAATCACCTGTGTATCTCATATTTAAACACATTAGTCCACCTAGGTTGTTACTCAATTACCAAAACCAAACTAGGGACCTTTTAATCTCCCCATTTTTGTTAATTGATGATAACTCTACAAAGATGTGAAAATTAAGCTCAAATGGATTCATATTGCTTGTCCAAGCAATTTTACCATGTGTAAATATTTTTGGACAAGTACTACAAACCCGAATTGGTAGTATTATCTCCCCTTACATATGTGCTAGTGTGTTTGGTTTAATTGCACATATATATGGATTTGAAATATAGGAGAGTAATTACTGTCAAATGATGCTAAGGTGTATAGAATAAACCTTTGAAGCATGATACCAATCGGAGTTGCACCTTTAAGTTAATCCTTAGCACTATGGTTAGCTAGATATCACTTGGAAACAAAAAACACTAGATACCTCGTGAGATCAATATTAGAAGCAAGGTACTAGTATTACTTGAGGAACATACCAAGTGTCGAGCTAACATCCTATGCATGCTAGTTTTCATTTCATCAATCAAATTCTACAACTAGCATACACCACACAAGCATGTATATTCAATTTAAAATTTTATGCAATGCAAGCAAGCACATGAATATGCACATATCAAATGCAAACAATCCAGTTCATGAGCTTGCTCCCCCTACTTATGTGCTTCTTTTGTCCAAGAATTTTGATCCTTCTCCATTCTTTAATGTTGCTCCCTCTTTGTCCATGTCTTCTATTTCTCTTCATGATGCATTTACATATCTTTGTTCCAACTTTTTCCCCTTTGTCATTAATTTCCATAAAAGGTGTGTCATATTGATACAAAGGATTGCATTGGGATAGATGATTGACACTTGAATCTAGCATTTTTTATGGACACCATGACATGTGTTGGAATGACACCACTTGTATAGCTCTAGAGATATCACATATAGGATCTTTGATGTTGATACCAATCTGTGGGACACCTCCTCCTATGTCATAGCATGGGTCATCCATTTGATAATCTTAAGCTCTTGTAGATGAGGGAACTTTTGATGATCACTTAAAGTTGAGGATCACTTGTGGAACCACCGTCTTATATGATTGATACCACGTGTAGAAATGTGATATCACTTGGAAGAATTTTTTTTATCATGGAGCCACTTGT